CCTGAATTTTTCTTTTTTAGGGCCTTGATAAAGCAACTATGTTTCCTCTCATACAACGATGCTGCTTCCACACATCTTTCAAAGTAAGTTTCTGAAGCCTTTTTGCGGTCTATTTTTCTTTGAAAGTAAAATAGCGTTGGAAAAAAAAAAGGTGACTTACAAGTTGGAGTAGCCACGTATTTATCACTCAGCTTTTCTGAGAGAATCCCTCGTTTCCACAGCAGCTTTTAGCCAAAGCTAAGATAGTCCTTTTATAAAATCAGTTTTTATTGTCTAAAGATCTTTTTTTCCCCTTTTTGGTAGACTAGTGAGGGGATAGTAGCTAGTTTCTGGAGTGATCTTGTCCTACTTCTGTAGTCATTTTATATTCTACTCTGAAAAGGACTGATATATCTTAACTTGAAAATGCCCAAAGAACGCCTGTGTGGGTGGAAGGATAGGTGGGTATACAAACCTTTCGTAGTGAGTAAGGTTTGTTTGCTCACTGTGAAGAGCCTAGCTGCTCTTCATCAGCTAGCTTATGAAAGCTGTATCAGATAGCTTAATCAGTTAAGTTAAAAGCATCTGAAAACCAGGTGGAAGGGCAGCTGGGATACAACCTGACCTGGAAAACTACTCTACAATATTTCATAGGTAGTTTAGGTAACTGTAGATCCATAAGCATACATTGTAAAGTGTTCAGAACAAGTTTTATACTTGCAGCTCCCGAAGTGTACTGGCCCCAGACTACTACTGTATGGGAAGAATAAGACAGTTTGGTCTTCTCTCAGCCTCCATCTGCAGAGAGATGTGTGTCCTCTCTCAAGATCTCCAAGCCTCAACCCAGCATCTATATATGCAACCAAGCTCCAGGCTTTCCACACCTCTCTCCCCTTCTTCAAGAAGAAAACCCCCAAAGAATCTGAGACCAAAGACGCGGGCGTATTGCAACAAAGCATGAAATCGCTAAAGGATTCTCCAAAGCCAGCCCTTTATGTAAGCCTTGCAGGGCTAATTCCATTTGTTTCTGTGCCACTGTCAATGGCCATCCAGGGGACCTACTACCCAGAGCTGGCGTTTGCTCAGTTTACATACGGTGCTGTAACAGTCTCTTTCCTAGGAGGAATGAGGTGGGGGTACGCTCTCCCAGAAGACAGCCCGGCCAAGCCAGACTGGCTGAACCTGGCCAACAGTACAGTTCCTCCTTTACTTGCCTGGCAAGCCTTGCTTTTTAAAGATGTCACTCAGGGTGCAATAATGCTAGTGATAGGCTTAGGGATAGCACTACATTATGATGTTTCCCTTCTTCCTGATTATCCCAGGTGGTTTAAAGTACTGAGGGTAGTGGGAACAGTGGTGATGGTATTATCACTATTAGCTACTGCAACGTTGAAGATTATTTTGGAAGAGCAGCTAAGTAACAGCAGAAATAAACGGCAGAACACAAAATAAGAAATCAATAGGAAAAAAATGTTAATCTGCCAGTAAGATATTTGTATTGAGTTCCAGGAGAAATAAAGACTTTTTTGTGCTTAGAAGTCATAAGATGGCAATGATCAAGTTGCTTACTCTCAAAGCAAACAAGTTAGCTAGTTTAGGAGGGAAGGATTGTGAATAGCAATGACTTCCAAGGCAGGCATGAGTCTGTCCTTATCTGGAGAACAAAGCATTGCTCTTGAATGAGATGTTACTGTCATATGAATTTAAAATGGAGATTCAAATTACATGGGTATGAATTGCTCTATGCTGAATTATTAAAGTATCTGGTTTAACTATAATGTGTGATAATGTTCTGTGGTGGCGAGAACAACTGCATAGTCATAACCAGTAACAAGGTGAAAGCAGCAACTTCTAGTTTAGTGTTTAAAGAAGCAGTATGTAAAAGTACATACATGTTCAGTTCCTGTGTTGTGGAATACAACTCTTCTCCATCTTACTTCAGCTGAGAAGGTGCTGAAAATGCTATGTGATTAAGCACCAGTCAGGTAAGAAAGGACAGGCAAGGTTTGTTTGCAGTGGCAAGCCAAGATCAGCACTCACCTAGAATACTTCATCCAGCTGCTGTGATGGAGTGAGGAAAGCTAGAAGGGAATGCTCTGTGTCTTTGACAAGGCGCCACAAAAGACAGAAGATTAGCTTCCTACTCAGGCGTAATTAAATAAAAAAGGATGCCTGGGCCATCTTCCTAGGTTTTGTTTGGACTTAGGGCTGCCTAGCTAAGGAAGCTGCAAGCAGCATAGCCATAAAGACCTGTCATACTCCTAAATTAAAGTACTATCAACTGATGATATGACACAAACGTATATGACACAAGGACTCAATTGCTGGCACTAAGGGATTAGATAACGAGATTTAAAGTAGTTTGTGTCTTCCCCTTCCTCAAAACTTATTTTGAGTACCCAGGGCAGGTACAAATGGATGTTTAGCTTGCAAACCCTCCATGATGGACCAATTATTGAAAACACTGCAGGAGCATAAGCTCTTTGTATTTATGTCTTCCTAATGCATCATTTAGGGGAAGAAGACACAATCTAAGTCACATGGATTTTCTTTTCTAGCTTCAGCTATCCTAAGAAACCTATGTCATTGTATGTGGGCATATTTACTATGGGCTTTTTGTCTTAAGTATTCTTTAAGTGCAGTATAAGATGCAAGAAGCAAGCTGAAAAGTGACATCCACGTACAACCTCAAGACCAATTTAGATAATCCTCATAGTTCTCTTAAAGCATTATTCATGGTTGTTCTATACAGAATAAAGCACATACTGTCACTTAAAATTTGTTACCTGTTCATTCTGCAAAGAACAGATGTTTAAGAAACCTGTCTGTCCTGAAGACAGAGCCATCTTATACAATATTGCTGAAACAGCAACTATGTACACGAGCCTCTAACTTTTGTAACCTATTAACCTTTATACATTAATAGCATCCTACCTCTGAAACAGTGATATATTTCAGTGCTCTCTGAATATAAAGGAAGTAAAATTGAGTTTGTACATGAAAACAGTTCTTTTATTCTTTCTTACTTAGACATGGCCTTTTTAAGATTGGGAATCTCAGGGGTGTTGAGTATCAGAGATCATGATTGACTTCAAAGTTTCATTCAAACTTGATAGAATCAACCACAAAAAATGGAGCAGGTAACTTCATACAAGAGCAGACTCCCTCAAGCTCCACTGAACAAAGTTTTCAGGTGGGGATCAGCAGTGATCTCCTAGTTCCTAAACTAATACAGTAGAGCTAATGTAATGTTTCTCAAATGGTTCACGAGGAATCCTGAAGTGTAAAGAAGAGAGCCTAAGAAATATTACCTGTCATTTGATCCCAGAGAGGGCTGCACACAGCTGGTAAGGCAGCCAGACTTCCAAGAAGTCTGAGTGATTTTACACTGAGGAGAGAAATACGTGAGTGTTTTACTACAGAAGTGTGTTACTTGCACCTTTAAAATAGTCAACATTTATAACCAATCTTCCTCAGTGTCCTACTGGGAAATAGGATTTCCAGTGAAAAAAAAAAAAAAGAAGTAGCAGTGGTACAACTCATTATGATAGGAAAGCAACCTATTCAAGAGCATTCCACAGTTCTGAAAATGCACTTTATTATGAAAAACTGTTTAAAACAAGCTTCAACTCGGGGAGAAAAAAAAGACAATAGACATTAGTTCACACATATAAGAAGTCTTTTTGAAGTAAAAGCACACACAAGATGATAGAATGATCAGAGAAATACATGCTCCATCGTCTAGCACGATTTAGCCTGGCAATCTCCCAGCCCTGTGTTAGAAAGCAAGACCTAGATTCTTAAGGTACCTGCAACACTCACCTTGGAGGCTTTTATTCATGTATTAATTTGTTAATTTTACACAGGGAATATTAACCTAGACAGCATGAATGCTTCCTTGTCTACACAGAGCAGGCTTCCTGTTTTGTGACATTCCAGTTGTGGTTTTGTGTTCTAGAATAACACTATCTATCAAAGTTCAAGCAGCCTTATTTCAGACTCCATCCAAATCATCCACAGCTGTGCAGAAAATGCAATCATATTGTGCAAAAAGCAACTTCAAGTACGTTAATTAAATGGATCTACAAATAACTCCAAACTCCTAGTAGTATTGTTCTACCAAGCGTATCCAAGCTAAATACAAACTCCTTAAGACAAAACACACTAATAGCACCACTTTAATGCTGAATGCAGCTAATTTTATCACAAAACGCTCCGTCTGCTCAAATTTGGAAGAGGCAGGATACAAGATATAGCAAGGATGAATGTGTGTACCTTGTAGAAGAGCACGTATTCCAATGTCAAGTCTCAGCATGTGTCACACAGGGTAAAAACACATTTAACTAAGGAAGAAAAAAAAAGGGCAAAAGGCTTTCCCCTGTATTTTTTATACTTAAAGCAGTCCTAAAGAGAACAGCTGATCTAATGGATAACATTTCCATTTAAAATTCACCAGAGCTTACACAAAAAGGAGCTCTACTGTCATCACTGATACCACTGAGAAGAAAAGCCTGTGCTGAAGTGGAATGACATTATTAGAACTGTGAGAGTAACCTTCCAGAACAGGAGATTCTGAGCCACTTACCATCCAAGGTAGTGGGGTGGCCAGAAAGTAAATATCCAATTCATATTTAATGCCCATCATGTCCAGCCGCAGAAAAGAGCCTCAAATGCATCAAGTCGTAAGTAGAGGTACCAAGCGTTCCCCATCTGTTATCTTCTCTTCTGCCAGAAAAGGACAACTCATGCTAATCAAGTAGCCCATCTGCTTTTATCTACAGATAACTCCTAGCTAGCTGTCTACAGTAGCCTCCTTCCAGGCGGTAAGGCCAACTAAAGATGCTAACTTTGGTGCACTTTACAGAGTTAACCTGATTAATGCCTCTAATGTGCTGGAATGATTTCTTCAGATGTTTACAGGGCAAATTTGCCATTTATTTCAGTGAGCTTAATCCAGTCATAAGAGGCATTCCTACTCTTAATAGAATACTTCCCGAGACAGACATTGGATAAGCCAATTTACTTTGAAGGGCGAGAGTTTTAGTAGTTCCTTTTGCTCAGGAAAAGCCCTCTGATCTAATTCTCCACTGTCTCTATTGAAGCTCCTGTGTTAGAAGAGGTTTCTGGCGAATGAAACCGGAAATCTGAGGAGACAGATTTACTCGTTCCCTGAATGAGTTTTCTTCTTTGTGTTTTACAGCACAGCTACACCTCCTTCACAGCGGCTGGTGATCATGTTGGCAATTTCAGTCCAACTGTCCATATGAGGGTTATAAACTTCAACAGAGTCAGAGGTTACCGGAGCAGCAAAATCATGGCTGGGAGCTCGACCTCCCGAGGCATAAAGAAATCCATTCACAGCCACAACACACACACCAGCTCTTGGTATCTTCATTGATGCAACTTCAACCCACTTTTCCTATTAAGAAGGTGAAAGAGTTAACAAGTAGTTTTAGGGTAAGCCCCGATTCTGATAAAAGTAACTTTTAAAGCTTGAAGACTGAAACATATACAAAGAACACTATGCATAAACTTCCCAGGCTGAAATATGGTATGTGTACGGTATCAAGAGGATTATCAAGACTGAAATAGCCCCATTTTCAAAAGTGGTCCAACTCATGGTAGTCACTAAAGAACACATCACATACTGTCTGTACACAACCACCCTCTCTTTCTTTGGTCACTGCAAGATGCAATCTGTCTTCAAAATAGAGAACAGTACAGAGTTTGAGGTGTGAAATAAGGAAAATTACATTCAATTCCAAATGCAAAACAGAATGGCACACTGGATTGTGTTCTGCTTTTAACACTAGCTACTGTTCCAAAGAGCATCATAGAAACATGAGCAATAAGAGTCAGAAATATTTCTTATCATATGCAAAAATTTAAGTGTTCAAAGTGATTTTTCTAGTCATGCTGAAACACCACTACATTTTGATGCAGAAGAAAGATCCTCAACTTTAGCAAGAAAGGGCAACTCTTTCTTTTTCCAGGGATTTTTTTTCTCTCTAGTCAGATTATTGACCATTTTATTGCAGAGGGGGCATCCATCCCCCCATCTCAACCCTAACAAGTATTTACCAAACTACAGTATATCTATGCATCATCAGTATTGGTTAGCTTTCAGTTTCCCAAAATCATGCACGCAATCTTTGTAAACACTCCAAGTCAGACAGCAAGATTCCACAGACTAGTTAGGACAGACAGACCCTGAGGTCACTGAAGCTTTGTTTCACTCAGATTACCAGCCAGTAGTGAAAAGGAAATGGAATTTCCATCTTTTTTCATTTTTAAGGAAGGAAGCATGCTAACTCTATAGCATCTTATACGAAGTTGATGCAATCTACATTTATGAAAAGAGGGGACTCTATCATACCTCTTCAAAGGAGTATCTTTCTACAGTAGCAAGCGCATCCTGAGATTCATTCCAGCCTCCCACAGCATAGATACAATCGTTGAGAGCAGCCACACCAAGATACGCTCTTCGGGTGCCCATTGGAGCGAGCTCAGACCAACGTTTAGATATTGGGTCGTAGACTTCAACAGAACGTAGCTCTACTCCTTCATTGCTGATACCACCAACAACGTAAATCAAACCTGTAGAAACAGAGTTTCTCCTCTGTTAGGTTTCATCATACAAAGGTTTGAAAGACAGAAAATGTTTGCCACAATGCAAGTTTCAGCTTGACATTAAGATGACTTAGGAATGCCAGATAAGAGTCCTCCATTTGTCCAGTAGTAGCATACATAAAGCTTTCAGATAAGTAACTTGAGGCTCAAGGTGAAAGCAATAATTAGTGTATGGGAGAGAATTCAGAAGGATGCAACTGCTGGCCAGGCCCGGATCAAATACTTAATAAGCACATTTATAGATCACGTCTTTAGACACGTCTGTCTTAAAATAACCCGTGGCAACTCTTCAGATTGTCGCAGAAACACACAAACCCGAATATGGAAGGTAAATAAAAGCAATATCAGGAAGGACAATCAACTGTTAAAAGACTAGCTGGATAACCATACTGGCAGCCACGTAAAAACCATTTTCATGAGATAAAAGGCAGAAGACAGAGAGAACTTCATAGTCTTTCAGTTCTGCAGAATTAAAAATATGATACTAGAAGAACAAATAAATGAGGCACAAGCATGTGCAACTGATACCACAGTACAAGACAAAGGCAAAAAATCATGACTGAAACATAAAGCTTCAAAATCCAATGGCTCTTGGAACTGTTTATGGATACAAACTTAACAATGCTCACCTTGCATTTCACAACACCCAAAGCAGTAACGGGGCACAGCCATGCTTCCCACCACATCCCAACTATTTTCTTCAGGATCAAATCTTTCAATTGTGTTGCCAATCTCTGCCCCAACCCAACCTCCTGCAAATAACAGCAGACACAGCAAAGAATTTAATGACGTGAATCTGTGTGTTAGCTGCATTTTTAGACATATGGTGCACTGTTCCAGGACAGATTAATTCTGAAACCAGCATGCAATCTACAATGGAAATAAGTTATAACTGAACAATAACTAATCCACAAAGATTTGGTATGCTAATGCTCATGTAAACAGATGTTTTTCAAAAACCTAACTTTGCAAATTTGCAACATCAAGATGTAATATTTAAGATCAAATCAATTTACAAGTTCTGTGAATGAACACCTTTAAAATTAACTTCACCTGGAAAAAAACCCAAAACTTACCCAATGCATAGATAGCACCATAGCACGTGCACACTCCCAGTCCACAACGGGGATGGTTCATGGAAGCCACAGTGGTCCACTGCTTAGTAACAGGATCATAACATTCAGTACAGTCAAAAATCATTGAGTCCTTCTCACCTGCATAATAAGAGCAAGAACTGAGTCCGGGGAAACACAATGTTTTGCGCTGCAGATAGAGAATCATTCTCAGCGCCTTCCATGACAAACATTTGAATACAAGATCTTTCTTTCAGCTAGCCAAACGACCAAAGTAGCAAAAGCTTCATTTATATCCAGAACTGAATCATCACGAGGAACAGCTTTCATCAACAGTTCCCTGACACATTACTGAAAACATCAGAGGGGTGAACAACCACAGTGTGACACACTTTTTCCTTCACAGCACAACTGACAGGGTTTTCAAGAGGAAAGAATGTGTTCTGCAGTGACAAAAACAGTATCCATATGCATTCTGTAATGAGGGGCAGGTAGAGCTACTTGTCACATCCTTGGGCAAACACACGTAACAAGCCTTTCCAGGTACACAGATCACAAGTAGCCTGTCCTGTACTACTGTCTTTTATGCTGTGGGCTTCTGCTAGACTACAAGCGAGGAAAGAAATGCTATTAGCAGTGGTACACAAAGTCCACAGAATACCCAACACCTCTTAGTACATCTGCATGTGTCCATATGCTTACCTGTGAGTTGCTACACCATGAGGGGAGAGAAGCTTAGTATAAAACAGCCAACATAGGAGCCCAAACACATATTCACAGAGCAGTGACAGTAGAGAACCAAGGAATGACAATTTAGTTGTTATTAAATCTAAAAGTTGCATTATCTACTGTTGGGTTCCTCAGAACCACTTACAGGAAGGATAATTTTAAAAATCTCCATCCATGAGTCCTCTGGTATCCATGTAACAAAGAAAGCACATTTCAGTTGTTACCTCCAATGGCATAGACCATTCCTCCCACCACAGCCACACCCAGCCCACTCCGGGCCTGGTGGAGAGAGGACACTGTGGTCCAGTAGTGGCTGAAGGTGTCAAATCGCTCCACACAGCTGAGGGCTCTACTGTCACTCCAGCGTCCTCCTTGCAGTCGGGTGTACCCACCTAGAAAGTGAGTAGAAAGATCATGGCTGAGTAAGAGCTTCCTGGTCATCCCCATGCTCCTATATCTAAACCAAAAATTACAGTAACAGCCATTAGCCACTTTTTGTAGGAACTGGACTTTCCCAGGTAGCATTGTTTCTTCGATACACAAGGAAGAATGATTGCCTTGAGGGTCATGTAACCTGTGCCTGAGATGACCACTTCACCACAACACTATAAATATTACCATTTGTCGTCTTAGTAAAACACAGAGACCAGCCAACAGCCTTTGCTACCTTAAGCCGGTGTTACTTCCTGCAGGGTGAAACAAGAGCATTCCCTTCCAATACAAAGCTACAGCTTTGCTGAAAACTTGGAATTTCAAGTATCCCATCACATGAAACAGAATATTCTGGACAGGGAGAACCTCAGCCTTCAGAAGAACAAGGAGTGCAGTGAATTTGCATATTCCATTCCAGCAGTGAACCATGGGCAAATCCTCTGCTGATTTGCAGATTTCCACCCAAGGCAAATAATTTCTAAAAGGCAAATCTAGGCTCTGAATGCCATGTCATAATGACATGAAGTGTGAATGCTGCCCCTTTGTGCAATTCTAAGCAGAAAGCAGGTAACACTGTAACTCAGCTAGATGAAATATTTTGCTATTTTTTAATCTTTTGTTTAAAAATAATCCAGTATCTCCTTCAGTACTGTAATACGAGATACTACTTCATCGTTTGTTTTACAAGGTTCAAACAGCCACATTCTAACCTACTGCATAAAGGTACTTCCTGGCTTTCCTCCGGGGACGACCTTTAGAAGCTTGCAGAAAACTGCTGACCTTGTTCTCTTTGGGAGATTTACAGACTTCACAATATTCTTTCAACAGTGTTTGCAGGGCCACCCGAAGGCTGAAATCTGGAATACCTTCAGGAAAAAAAGCAGATGAAAAAAGGCATAGTGAAAAATTACAGACAGTAAGTAACTCAGTTGTAGAAAAGTTACTAGCTTCTCCTAAACCTGCTGACAAATCAAGATTGCCGACTTTTATAAGACTTTTTCAAAAGCATGTTTTTAAAGCAAGTCATGCTTATTTGTTAAAAAGTAGAATTTGTTTGAATAAATTTTTAAATTAACAGGATGATGATTGAAAATAAGTCCATCAAAATCCAGTAACTCTGAATGACACATGGTTTGCTCAAATCCAAACATCTGATACTGTTTCTTCCTTTCTTTCTCTTACTTTCTATGTATTTTAGTAGCCTCTGTGCTGGTAGCAGAGGGAATCGAACAGGCTCCAGTACTTCTACGACGTATTTCTTTCTTTTCCCCACATCCTTCAAAATCCACTGCATTGCCGCTATGAAAACCTGGTACTCGTCCTCGATGCTAAGGTCCTCGCTTCGCAAGATCTTAATCAGCTGCTCTTTAGTCAGCGCCAGGAACTCCTCCCCGCTCTGCACCTCCAGGAAGTGCGCGTGGATGTAGCTCTCGGTGTACTCCATCAAGTCGTGACAGGCGATCTGCTCGGAGAACTGGAAGAGGCCGATGCAGTTGAGCGGGTCGATCTGCCCCTTCAGGAACTCGCAGCAGAGCTCCACCACCTCCGTCAGCTGCAGCATGTCGGCGGCGACGATCAGCTCCTGAACGTTGTGCTCCCCGATGTTCACCACCCCTGTGGGCAGGCACAACATAGTGGGGCTTCGCTCGAGGCTGTGGCCGGCAGGCAACCGCCATCCCGGCCTGGCCGT